CAGTCAGTCCCCAGCGGCAATCAGCAGCGGCGCCCAGAGATGTGATGTATTGGAACGGCAGTCGCGCGATGGATGCAGCAGGCCAAGCCCAGAAGAAGGAGCACCTCCGGGAGCAGGCAAAGAAACCAAGAGCTGCCCGGCTTGTTTGGCAAGAGCGCCCCAAGGCTCTGGACGTCATCCCGTAGTTGTGCTGCTTTCCGACCTACCAGCAGGAACACAAGTAGGTAGGTGCCTACCTATGCCCGTGTTTTGCCTGCCTTGTCTGCCTCGGATTCCTTTCCATCCATCCACCCATCCAGTCATCCACACCACCCCACTCTGTTGGGATGCTCCGTCACATCTCTCCACCGAATTCCTCCTGTTGCTAACCTGCCAACCTTGTATCGACCTCGTCTCTCGTCCACTCAGACATGCCGACCAGGCTCTTGTTCCCTGGGCCACGGGAGACGGCGCGGTATCATCTTGCATCCAGTTTTGGGGGAGCACGCCATACCCCTGGTCCGCTCTACACCCACTCACCTTGACCTTTCCCTTGTGTCTGACCGGCCGGTACACCTCGAGTCCACTCCTGACGACAGCGACGGATTTTGCATCCTCTAGCTTCAATCGGAGGGGCCGATCTAGCGACCGCGTGGTAGACGAAGGCGAGCTCGACAGACGCAGACCCTTCGTTGCTGCCAAGAAACAAGCTCGCCTGTCTTAGACCCATCTGTTCCCTGCAGTCGGTCGTGGCCATTGCGAATAAAAGACGGTCAACCTTCCAGATCTATTCTTTACGATTGCGTGCTCTTGATCTCCTGCCCTTCTTGCCTCTCCCCTTCCTTATCGACACCCTCATTGACTGTCGACAGCCGTGGGCCCATCCACGCAGAAAGCTTACTCTGCAGGACCCTGTCTGAAAACCTTGTCACAACCCGATCACCTTTGCTAGACACACTCCCATGCAGACGACGCACACCTAGAAGATCCCTCTCAATCCCCTCCCACGATATCGTCGGGGCGTCTCAACTCCAACATGGGCGCTCTTGGTATCCTCAAGAAGGTCGGCGGCTGGTTCGCTCCTCCGCCCGACAAGGCCGACGACGGCCGCGATGTCTGGCCCTCGCGTGCTGCCTTCTTGCTGGCTTCCATGGGCGGTTGCGCTGGCATGGGTAACCTTCTTCGTTATCCCTCGCAGGTCTACAACAACTACGGTCTCCAATGGTTCATCCCCTATCTGATGGCCGTTTTCCTCATCGCCATTCCCGTCCTCATTCTCGAGATTGCCATCGGCCAAGCCTTCCGCGGCGGCTCCGTCATCGCCTTCAACAACATCAACCAGCGCCTCAAAGGCACCGGCATGGGCTTGCTCTACATTGGCTTTGTTGTCGGCCCCTATTTCACCGTCAACTTGGCCTGGATCATGACCTACTTTCGTGCTTCTTTCCAGAGCCCCTTGCCGTGGGGCGGCCGTGGTCAGGAATTCTTTGACGACGAGGTCATCAGAAATCCGCGCCCAATCCCGGCAGACGAGAGTGCGTCGGGATTTGTGGAGTACCCTCATGTTGGCATGCTCGGCGAGACATCCGGATGGATGGTCTTTACCTGGTTCCTCGTCTGGCTGTGTATTTTCAGGGGTGTTGGTCTGACTGGTCGTGTTGTTTACTTCACCATGGGCCTGCCCATCATGATGACCCTTGTCCTGATCGGTCGCTCTCTGTCTCTTGACAATGCCGGCGAGGGTGTGAAGCTCTTCTGGGCCACGTGGAGGGGCTCTGAACTTGCCGACGGTACTGTCTGGCAGACAGCTTGCGGACAGGTATGCTCCCTGCTTTTCGGAGTGTCTGAACTCTCCTAACCAAGCCTAGGTCTTCTTCTCAACTGGTGTCGGTTTCGGCTACTTCACCTCATACGCCTCCTACAACCGCAAGCACTCCAACGCCGTTGTTGATGCCATTGCCATTGTGTGCAGCAATGTGGCTTTCGAAAATATCGCCGCCTTTGCCATCTATGGCGTTATTGGTTTCGCCAGGCTCTGGCCAGAGGAAGGTGTTCGAATTGGTGGCTTCGACATTGGATTTCGTACGCTGCCACTCGCCATCGTCCAAATGCCCGGCGCAAACTTTTGGGCTGTCGCTCTATTCTTTACGCTCATGACCCTCGGATTTTCCTCCGCCTTTGCCATGCTGGACGACGATCGTGACCATGTCATGGACTCTGCATAAGCTCTCGCGCACCCATCGTGTCAGCA